AGCAACTACTGGAAAATATACACCTACGGAAAAAGCCTATGTTCAGTAGTGGACAGCTAACGGCTGATATAAATTAAATTATTATATGTAGTATATGTAAAACCTACAGATTTGTAGCATACCTAAGTCAATGCTAATATAATACACTGAAACTTCAGCTACGAATTTTCAAAGGCACTTGAAATAATCTTTTGTCTCTAAGTCGTCATTTTTACTATAAGGTAACAAAAACAATGTTTTAATGATGAAAATTTAAAGTAAGAAAACTTGTATTTTCATTTTTAAATAATAATTACTTAAATAAGTAGTTTAAATAAATAATTTAGTTTTAAATAATGTTCCACTTTCTGTAAAACATGTAAGAATTTTAAGATAGAAAAAAGAAAGAGAACTTAGATTCGAACTACATTAACACAACAATTTATTGGTTTTTTATGTGTTGCTTCAGACACGTAAGCACTTTTTCGAATGGACCTGAAATTCTTACAGTTATATGTATGAATCAAAGGAATAATACCCACACATTGGCAGTACGCCAAAAAACGAGTAAACAGTTCAAAAATATGACGTTGACTAATCGTACCATTCTCAAGGTCCATGAACCAGGTGAGTTTTATGGTTTTTCATTTATCTGTTTAATGTAGTTTAGGTCTATAAACTCATAAGTAAGTATTATACAGCATTAAACCACGCTTTGGAATTTACTTCCAGTAGCAGTATTTCCGAACCGACACGACATCATAACCTTCAAGAAAAGAACATATTCCTTTTTAGAAGGTCGGCAGTTTACCTAGCAAACGAGCAAGTGGCTCACCTGATAGTAAGTGACTACCGCTATCCATGTTCACCCACAACACCAAAGGTATTGCGAGTATGCTGCCGGCCTTTTAAAAAGAAATATGCTCTTTTCTTGAAGGTTATGATGTCGTATCGGTTCGGAAATACATACATAAATAATAAGTACATAAATAATACTTACGAACAATAACAACCGAGACAATACATTTTAATTAATTTATACAATCCTTATCAAAAAATGTTTTTGAAGACGAATTACGCTCGCTAATTGATACGAAATTCGAAGTTAATTGGTAACTGAATCGGAATTGGTGAATTTATATAACAAGTACCTCTTCAGTCAAAAGGTACTTAGTTACATTTACTAATTTATTCATTGTAGATATACACAGAGGGAGACTTTGTACAAAAGTCGATTGCTTGGGCACCTCTGTCCCATTCGTGTTTCAACCGTAAAGCAGTTGTGTTTGCATGGTTGTGTTTCGGTTTGAAGAGTGGGATATGGGGTGAATTTACTGGGTACGGAGGAATAATACCTGAGTCCTCAGGAATGGCAACGTATGGGGGGTATCATGGGCGAAACAGTATATTCCGTTATGTCCATGCTACTGCTCATGTCTATAGGCGACGGTTACCACTTTCCATCAGGTGGGCCGTCAGCTTGTTTGCTATTCTAAGTTGTATAAAAAAAAATCTTTTTCAGTCACTTACATAATTCTGCTGTTTCGGAATACTCCCAATGAAAATTAAAATTGATATCTATTTTGTATTTTATTTTACCAACCGTATCTTATTTACAAGTCATATTTTACAATTCATATTTTACAAATCATTACATGTAATAACTAATAAAATATTTGAACGAATATATAAGGTATTGTTACAAGACAATAAATCCTAAAAATGCAATCACTTGTTATTTACGTATACAGTGCAAAGCAAAATTGTGAATAAGATCATCTAAATAAATGGATCGCCGTGTGGTCCCGAGATTCATATAATGGGCCCCATAGAATGGTCTACCCCTTCCTATCCCGTAGGTGGGAACTTAAAAGCCAAGGGATAGGAAACAGTGTCCCTCTTTAAACATCACCAAAGCCTACCTGCGATTGCAACCCGCCTGCCAAGCATGGCAACTATTGACAAAACCTCTTAAAAGAGGGAGGCTTATATTCAACAGTGGACTGTAAATAGTTGATATGATGATAATGATGATGAAATAAATGAGAATTAACTTTAAATAATAAGTCTTACTTTCTTACTTATATCATAAATATGAAAATCAGGTCTTTTGTTGCATCTTTTTAACGATTTAAACAATTGTTACAAAATTTGTCATGAAAAAATTCATATACTATTATATGTCTTGATTTAGTCAACATGACCCAGTCACGTGGATATAAATGTATTTAAGGGAAGGGGGGTCAATCCCAGTCACGCGGACACAGGGGTATTTAAGGGAGCGCCAGGTGGGCCGCGCCCACTCCAGAATTGTAAGTTGTCCTCCCCAAGATCGCGGGCAACAGTTTCAGTTATGGGCAACTGCATGTCTATGAGTACATATACACCTTTTTTAAGAAAGCAAACCGCACCTGGGAAATAATTTCAAATATGTTACGCATGCGGACGAAGTTGCGTGTAAAACCTAGGTAAAAATATTACTTCCATTAATTTAGATCAACAATATTTAAATATGTATCTGTTAATATCATAATATATACAAACAGTATATGTAAAAATGATCTATTATAAAATATAAGAAATAAGTTGCCTCTTTAATTTTATAAATAAGATATTCTAGATTTAGAATAATTCAATTTATTTACTTATAAATAGTTTAAAGATACGCTTTATTAAAACGTTGATTAAACCCAAACATAATTAATAAGAGACGTGTATAAAAATAAAAGTTTCATTACATCTTTATTAACCTTGAAAACGATTAATTAAAGATGAGTGTTCAAAAATTTTAAAATACTTAGGTATACATAAACAAGTTATACTGTTTTCTCGTAGCATCCTACTAACTAGACTATCTGAACTATATCATATCTACATATACATTATTTTAAACAGCAGCCTAAATTGAAATTTGCATAATATCACTGTTATCTGTTTTACTCAGCTGTGTATTTTAAACTTCCATATTTCAGTATTAAAATACTTCTCTACATATTGATATCTTTTACATGGCTATTGCTAGAAAAATGTTTTACAGGTCTTTAGTTTCCACTATATTAAATCCTGGCACGAAACATCACCGCCAAAATGCACTTTTTCTAATTTTAGTAGTCTTAACGTACCTCGTATTGAAGAAATAATATAAAAGAAGAGAACGTCATGAACTCATGTCTTTTACACGTAAAATTTTTAACAAGTTATATCCTATAGCAATCCTACAATTAAACGAATCTGCCTATATTTGATTAATAATATATCAAAGCGTTTAGGCTACTTGTTGCGTTAACAAACTAGATATATCTATTTTTATTTTATATTTTAGGCATTTTTTTTTTATTTTTAAATTTTAATATGTAATATTAGATACCCTCTTCTTCTCTCGAATTTTAAATTCCGTCAATTTTATCTTGTCACGACCATACCTTCCAAACTTATATAGTTTGTAATACTCAATGATATATACGGTTATACCATATATAATTTACTGCAGTGTTATCATGGTTAAAAAAAAAACAAATATTTGAAATGTGAAAAAGATAAATTAACATTTTAAATTACTCATCACTTTGAATGCCAATGAACTACAAAATGAAATTTTTGATGACATCAAAAATTATTCTGTGTACAGTTTATTGTATTATTTAGGTCTTATTTACATTTCAAAAGAAGGAAATTGTTATTTACACTACTACTATTTCTAGTACAAGTAGTACTAGTTCTCTATAGTCAGTTCGTCTCCAATCAACATTATAACTTTGTGTTAACTATAAAATTTCCTCTGGAAAAAACGCCGCTATCAAACCTAATTAATTTGGGAAATGGCAATATGGTGAGCTCACTCCCTGTCACGTTAATTTCAAATGTATTCAGCAAATGTAGACATCACGAGCAATGATAAATAGCAACAACAACAAACTTGCTTAATTATATAATAAAATAAAATTATAATTAATTTTATGAACTAACTTTTTGATTGTCAATTACGCCCAACAGTAGCAAAACATACCCAACGTTCTATGTAAAATACAAATTCCAATTTATAACTGTGCCTACCTATGTTTATGCAAATAAATTATTGATTAATTGATTGGGGTTTAATATTTCTAAAATTATTGTAATATTTATTAACATTTTGATGATATTTAAAAGACTGAGCCATTAGTAAAAACCATTATTATTGTCTTATCTTGTATAAACTTGTATAACAACTATAGTATACAACGTGTATAACAACTAAAATTATATTTTTTTCAGATATTTACTTCTACGAATATAAGCGACTACGCTTAGCTTACAAATTTAACAATAATTTTCGACAATTTTCGTCCTAAATACTACAAAACAATGAAAGCCTAATTTTTATGTGCAAATTTCGTTAATTTTTTTTTAATTTACAATAAGGTACAGTGTACGACATTAATATTTAAAATTGATTGCATTATCTATTGAGAACTTTAGAAAACGACAAACAGAATTGTCGGTATTACATTTTTTCAAAATGTGATACATACTCATAATTATTTGAATATCTGAGTATTTTCAGTTGATAATCCAACAAAACAAATTTTTAATGTTTAATCCTTCATATTCTAATAAAGGCATCCTAATAGACTAGGCAATTATTTATTATAAAAAATAATCTTAACTGAAATACAGACAGAAAATGTAAAAAGAAAACAAAGTTATTATGTATAAAAAATATTTTTCTAATTTATAAAATTAAACGTGTTAACTAAAATGAAAGTACGACAATAATGTACTTACAGTGGCAAACGTAACACCTTGTAAAATATTTACGTTAATATTAAAATTTTACTAGTAACTGAAACACATTATTATGCATATTGCAAATACAGTTTCTTTCATGACAGTCGTCAGTAAACACAAATTGAATCATAATACTGGCGGAATAAAAATAAATTTACTATAAATAAATAAATGAAGAACCACTCGCTTTCAATAATTCACAAGGACTTGAAAAAATTTGAATAGTCATTGTCCTAATTAAATTCACTACCTACCTGTTGTTTCAGCCAGTCCACATTTCAATAGCACAATCAGCTGTTAGACACTTCACTGGCCCCTGCAAAGTACTGACTACGAGAGGCGTGGAGTCGTCGATAATAACATGGTAGACATTATGGCTGATGCCCGGGCGACCGGCGCGCGCCGCCCGCCTTACTTCACTCCGCGCGGTCCGAACCCATTTCCCGCCGCTGTATCAATTTTCGCCCGAGCGTGAGTACGTTGGCTCTGCCAAACCCCGAATGATAAGTGGTCGCTGTTATGACTATCGGAGTTGTGGCCGCGCATGCGCGTCCACCGCTAAATAAACAGTAGCCGCTACCCGCTACAGTTCAGTACTTCAGTACCTATCTAAAGGTTATCGTTGACCGTCATTCGATATTTTTTTGCATCAAATCAATTATAGATTGAGAAGAGAAAACAAATTGCTTATAGGTATATTGGAGTCATTTAAATAACGTTTATAAACAAAACAGTATATATGTATTTACTTACCCATGTATAACTTGCAAATCCTTACATTACGGACTTGAGATTTAATATTCCCTGCTTGCTTTTAGCAATGCAATGCTTTTTCGCATTTTATAAATTATAGCAATAAAATACACGTTTTAAATATACGGTTGACCATAAAGTTTTTTTTTTTCATTTATTGTGACTTTGTGACCATAAAGTCATACATTTATAAATAGTTTTTATAAAATTGGCAAACATGCTATATATATATATATTTTTTTTTTATTCTACTACCGGTTCATGACACTTATTCACTACTTATTTCATTCATCATAAAAACAATAGAGGAACAAAAAATAAATAAATACTAATTTTGACAACTATATTATATTAATATACCTATTTAAAGAAGGAAAAAAACTTGCATAACTCTATACCAGAGGCAACCTTTTAGCGGAGAAGCGAAGGAACGTAATTTAATTGTCTGGTAAGAAGTATTGTATATGAATACCTGTGTTACAATCATTCCATAATTAATACCTAAATAGAAATAGGAAAAATACAATGCAATCATATAGATTTTATAACCATAAAAAATATTTAGCTGTATATTTGTCTATGACACTTATATCTTTTAAATCGTTGATGGTTTGGCACAGTTTTAAATATATGTATGCTTACGATTAAGAATTTCATCAAATCTAAAAGGATTTATTTTAGTATTTGAGTTTTATTATTTTCAGTAAGCACTTTTTTATTTCAATTTGATTTATATTAAAATATTTTTAATATTGTATATTATGAAAATAAATAAAAAATCGATTGCTTGGGTATAACCGTAAAGCAGTTGTGTTTACATGGCTGTGTTTCAGTTTGAAGGATGGGATATGGTGTGAATTTACAGTGTACAGAGGAATGTTTGGCAACGCATGGGGGGTATCATGGGCGAAACAGTATACTCTGTTATGTCCATGGTACTGCTCATAATTTTCCATCAATATTCATTAATATTGTATAAAAAAATAAGGAAGTCGTTTCCAATGTTCGGGCAGTATGGATAATGACAATATTCATTCGACTTTGGCTACGAAATTAAAATATATTAAAAACTTTATTATCTACCACAGTTACTGTTCGTTATTAATAATGATATTGCTAAAATATTATTGTTCTAAAAATTATTAAATTATTTATTAAATTTAATTATTATTATTATACTATGTGGCTAAAAGAAGTTCTAAACGGTGCATCAATAAAGTCTACCTCTCGTCAAGTTTTATTAGAAACTATCATAATACATCTTTTAAAACAACATCCAAAAGGAAGCCTTCATTAATCTGACTGTTTTACAACTGACTTACGTGATTATTCCCTATTCTAAACTGATTTTCACATTTCTTTTTACAAGCTATAAATTTTGTTCCTCAAATTCCATATTAATCCTGTTAATTAGGTCAATTAAGGCTGTTTTTTCTTTGTAGAACGAAAAACTGCTTGTTTAAACTGAAAATTTTACTTTCGGTTTGCATCTTTCAGTTACTACACTAAAAATATGTCTAATATTAGGTAATATCAAATGCTGGATAATGCATTTTAAAATGTTTTTAATTTGTCATTAATTTAAATTTATCCTCGACTAAAATAGGACCTCAATGCCAATATTTACATACACATGTTTTTTCATCCATTTACTAATAAATGTGTTCTAATTATTTACCTCTCCCATCGTCGCTGTTAAAATTAACAGCCTGTTTACAGTTACTCAGACGACTTTTGTACAAAGTTTTCCTCTGATATATTGTACATTTTACCTAAAATAATAATATGGATTTGAAGTGATTTGGAAGGAATTGTTAGTAATGCAGACACAGTCCTATTGCAATGATTGTCATGTCGACCTCCACGTCAGACAATGATTCTCAAGATGAATTCTCACGATGGGCTAACTAACCTGCTTTTTCATTCTCACCTATCATCCCTCACTGGTGTCTCACCAGCGTATACCGTTAACTACTCATGGAAAAAATTAAATGAAAATATTTATTTTGATTGTTGATAAATGTTTGTATTATTTTTAAATAGTAAATTTTACCATTGATCGATTATAAGTTCGCTATTTATACCATATATTTCGTGTGGTCAATACAGCTTTAAATAAATAAATAATAACATTCTATATTTCAGAATTTTTCATTCAGTACCGAAAAACAAATATGCGTCATACGTGCGAAATGATAACACTGTGACACCACGTGCGACGTAACTAATTGTATGTGCCCTCACCAACAATATTGTATGATTCAACATTGAACTAAACCAGGTTTAGTGCGATACGAACTGGAGTTGCAGATTATCTAGTGTTTGTTCTTCAGCTTTGCACGTGTACCTATACCTATAATCTGTACTTTTTTTTTTAATATATTAGTAAACAACAATGAAATGAACAACAAATGAAATAAGTTTAGTACAAACATGTAGAGAATATTTAAAAAAAGGGAAAATACTAGTCAAACACGAAAAAAAACACACCCCTAATGTTGCAGGCGTCCATAGGCTACAGTGACCGTTTACTTTCAGACGGGCTGTATGCTTATTTGCCATATTCATGGTATTATATATATATATATATATAAACTAAGTAAATCATGTACAGAAGCTACTTTTAGTCGTTCAGGTTGTGGTTACAACATAGTGTGGTAAGTGAATGCAATTGTTAAAATCACATCTAATGGATCACGTTTTAAAGTCGGGTTATTGCTTTAAGATATATTTTACTTTTATACATTTTAGCCTATTTCTCACGTGTAGTCACAAGATACGGCTTGTAACATAATACAGGAGTTAAAGAGGATTATTAATAATGGGGTCTAGGTCGAGTCAGGGTATATTAAAAGTAATGGAGCTGCTATTGCTAACAATATATTTTGACAGTTCAATCTTCCTTGGCAATCATCATCTTTAATTACCGATGAATTCACCACGATAGCCCAGCTGATCTGACTTCATTCTCATGTATCATCACTCACTGGTATACCGGTAGCACAAGTGCAGTTATCATTCCATTTTCATCTTTAAAAAAAAAAAAAATTAATACGTTCATAATTTAGAATACTATCCCCATAACCAAAATAGGAAAGTTATTTACCTAAATCCGACTAAGTGAAACCTGACATATGAAATGACATACTTGAGCTACTTGTTACGAACGCCTTTATTGTCATATAACAGGTAAGTATTATATTAATTGTTGTTATTGTTATATTTTTTAAATAACAATCATAGATTTGACCGTGGTTTTGAAATGAATGAAGCTACATTCGTTTATTTCCTATATTTAGCTTATTACCATTCTGTTACATGCTCCATATACAAGTACAGTAGGCACTTGTTATTGAATAACGTAAATAATTATACCATAACTTAAATTAGGTACTCCTTGACAGTTTTAGTTGCTAGATAATTTAACAGAACAAACGATGTTAGATTAATATTTGAATATAACTTAGTTATTTTGAAACAGTAGGTTATTATGCCAAATTCATTCATAAATTATATTAATGAGGTATTGTAATAACAATTTCATATTATATTTCTGGATTCAATTGTGAAAATTAATAAGATTAATATATCAAGATATGGATATTACCTTAACTATGCGTATCGTTAATTACTATAGACCTTTAAGATATTTAACTGATAATAGGTTTTTTTTTCCTTTGCTCCCCCTTATGGAGGCCCGGATATTAATTTCCAGGTTGTTAGACTGATAATAGGTTTGACTCCTTAACGGTTAGGAGTTAGGGATAATTTCTTGCATATTATAATCACGTATCATATAATAACAATATAAGTAATAATATAATATAATCCGTTTCTTAGGTTCTTTCAAGGTATTTAGGTGATTGCATCTAGGAGTATGTTGGAGAGCTTAGAACTTTGCTTCGATGAATAAAACACATGCGTTATGATTTGAAAGCATTATATTGACGAGTGAATGATAAGGTTTAACGTTGTTAGATAGTAGTTATTACTACAAAAAAAAAAGTTTAAAAAAGTAATCATCAGAACTTGACTTGGCGACATACTGGTGTAATGTAATGGCCTGGCCAATTATTATAATCATAGGTATTTACAATAGTCTTAATCATTCCATTTCCTACAATGCTTTTTCATCATGCAGTACCAATATTCTTATAGAAAATATGGTAATTTAATGACCAAATAAGAATATAACTATATCAACGAATCCTTTTACTAAATTACACGAACCATTTATTTATTTATTAAGTAACTTAAAGTTCTGCTATGATATAATGTTAATTTGATTGTAGGATAAGAAGTAGTTTTCTACTCACTGCGTACATATTATTTACACTAAAAAGAAGAAATAAACAAAATTAAGCCAACTTGTAAAAAAGTGGAAGATAAACAATAAAAAAAAAACTCCCTAAAATAATGATAAATAAGGAACAAAGACTTAAACAGTAATAATAAATACCCATTTCTTATATACTCTGAAATAATTATTAACCTGTTTTGAATTCTCTAAACCAAGAAGAATTTATCTATTCCTCGTTGTGCAATGAAAACATTACGAAAGAAAAGTTATTTACTACTAATTATAATAATAATAATATTAAATAATTAAATATAGATACGTCAAAATACATTATGTGCGTAAATATATAGAACACTGTTAAAAAAACGAGTCAGCGAATTTGATAATTAGCTGATAAAAAGTTGACCCGTTTCTGAGACTTGATGCTCTTTCTATATAATCAAAGACAATACTATACTAGTACTTATACTTACCTTCATTACGTCAGTGTCGCATGCAGCGCGCGTGCCGGTGACTCACGCGCAAACAAATTATATACAGTGGCACGGACCAACAATTGTTCACTTCGAGGTTTTAATCTGTATGCTTATTAGACCTTTTACTTATTTTACTCGCTATAGAAAGATTCGTTGTAGTTAATGTGATACATTACATTAATAACATTTGGCCTTAAGTAGTTCCTGTTTCCGGTCATGTCTCGTCTAACCCGAGGCTATAAAATGTAATAATTTAACAATTAAATAAAATATACTTATTTATATAGATAAATATAATAAACATAACAATTACATCCCGTGAGAGAGGGAATTCTCAACGAATGAATAGGAAATTCATATATTGATTGTATACTTATACCCAACCGCAAATCGATTTAAATGATACTTTTTTATTCGAAAGGATGGTGGTTCTAATTCGATTAAAATTTAAGTCTATATATTTATTTATTATTTTATTTACAATCACATTCTCAGAAATGGACCTAGAAGCCCTAAACTAAAATTAACAATCCATATATTAGCCCAGCATTCAATAGCCTTACAGACTTATAACTAAAACATGAATTTTCCTTTTATCTTTCGGTAACTTATGTACTCACTGTAAACACAAATTGAACAAATGTTAGTTTCTACTACGTACATATTTGATCATATTGAATCATCTCTATCTCGCGATAACCACAGTTTCTTTATCTAATATCTTAATTCAAAGTACATTTTTGTAAAAAAGAAAATAATTTCTCGAAAATGTGAAGTAAGTATCATAACATTCTAAAAAAAATATAGTGTTTATGTTTTAACATGCGATAATCTCTTGACTTTATAATAATCTCGTATTCGTTCATTTATAATGATTCTTATGTTAATTATTAGGTGTTTTATATTTAACGCATCGTTATAATATGTAAACATATTTATTATCAACATCACTTCAATTTAAACATCATTAAGGTTGTCACGTTATCTCGTTAAATGGCCAGTTTGCCACACAAGAAAGTTTCTTTCAACCCAACCGTGTCTGCCATAAACGTAATATATCATATACATAATGTATATATACTAAGTACTGAGTCTTTGTTATCGATTGTTCGAGCTGTGTGGCTGGCCGGACCATTAATAAATACTATTTCTTGCTAATCTTTCGAAATAGGTACATCAGTCACTTCTTCATATTTGGCGGATATCCTTGTTTTAAATTTCATCGACCCCATAAGGCCATTTAAATTCATCATCAACCTATTATAGTCGGGTCAATTAACGTTTTTATTAATTTGTCTACATTTTTATTAAATTGAATTATAAGATTAGGTATAGATCTTAAATTATGGTATAGATATTATCTATAATGTAAGATGTTAGTATTTATGTTGAAAGCAATATAATTTAAGTAAATCTACGTATTTTATTTATTATTTTTTTAATTAAATTTCATCGCACAGTTATATGATGGACTAAAACTTATCGTCATTCTCTAGGGAAAGGATTGTTTAGTAATAGAGAGGTTAACCCCTATTTCTATCAAGTCGACCTCCACGCGGATGCCCCTGTAAACAATCATGACTAATTTATCGTTGAATTCGTCACGAAGGGCTAAACTGACTTGCATTTTCATCCTCGCTAATCATCCCTCATTGATGCCCCATCAATGTATTCTGATAGCGCAGGCGGGGTTACAATTCCATTACCAGTTTCTAATTCTATACGAAATATAAAATGTCTGCCTAGTTTTGAAACAAAACTTAAGGATTTTTATTTGAGCAAGTTGTCATCTTCTTCATTTGTTTATTTGTATGGTTAACATACTTATTTCTTCAGATATAGTGAGTGAGTAGTATTTATATATTTTTTATGTATTTGTGTAGATGTGTATATGTATGTGTGTGTGTGTGTGTGTGTGTGTGTGTGTGTGTATATAATAATGAGTAGGGATATATATTTACATTATTACATCTCCATATTTAGAAATAATTGAATTTTCACCGTGCCTTCTGATCATACTCCTCTCCATCTAAAGGTTGCCTGGAAGAGATCGTTTTTAGCCATAAGATTGCCCATTGTATTCTCATTGTGATTATTTCTTATAATTGTTTATATCTATAATAAGTTTACTATTGTAATTTTTTGAAGGAAATAATAAAAAGACTCTATCTACCTATCTACCATCAATTAAAAAAAAAGTGTGTTCTTTATCAATCAACAATAAGCGAAACAGACAAATAAGTAGGCAGTGTATTTACTGTTAAAATAAGTACAAATTGTAGTAACTATCGAAAAGAAATATAATTACCACTTTAATATGAAAATATTATATTTAACACTGTTACACGATAAGAGAAAACTCTGTCAGCTAAGTCATCGAGTATGGATTAAATGTTGATAATTTTTTTTTTCATTGGTATATAATTCAAAATTGAAACCTATCCTATCTTATTAGCTTATTACAAAACCCAGACAAAATAATACAAAAGTTATCACTAGAAATAACGTAATGATTACTTGCTCTGTGTTTAGAAAGATATTTAAGTTATCAAAGTTTACAATATCTTGTAATCGTATGTTATCTTAAACATATCTTCTTTTATTAAGCTTAAAAAAAGTAAAACAAAGGAGTTACAATTTTATCAACATATCCTCATCATCATCATCACTACATAGTATAAAACAAAGTCGCTGTCGCTGTCTGTCCGTCCCTATGTATGCTTAAATCTTCAGTTTCTAATGTGATGTCATAAATAAACACATTTTTTTGCACTTATATTGCAAACGCTGGCTGAACCCCGCGAGATAAATCAAAATAATATACTACAGTATGGTACACCTTAAAAAGGTCAACAAAAAGTCCGCGATGGTATATGTCTATCTCTTAAGGATAACCCACAATAACCATTTTTTATCTTTTACGTTTTACGGTAAAAATGGCTTATTTACGAAATGATTTTAAGCAATACACCATTAATTTTTATCCAATTAAGTATCTTAAATACATTCTCCATTTAATATAGATCAATATGACCCTTTCCAGCATGTAATTGAAATTAATACTTCCGAAGATATTATTAAGATTAGATTTAAAATGCAGGGACATAGCGGTGCGGCGGCGTGTGCCTATATAATAGCGCGTCGAAGGCCGCACTTTGCCCTATAGCACTTTATCATGTTTGTATTGTCTAATGACAAAAAGCTGTAAATGTTATTTATAAGGACATTCTGTAGTAGGTAGGTATACTTAGTATCAGCATTGCACCCTTGCGAATCCGGGGCGGGTCGCTAGTTGAAAATAAAAGCGTTTTGAAGTAGTAGATAGGTATATACTCTTTGGAAGTAAGTTTTTTTTTTTTTTTTATAGAATGGTAACATTGTGATGAAATCAACAAGAATTAATTACGATGATTTCCAAGGGAACCGCGTGAAGGTCGATCTGACAGAGTATATTGCTAGCAATGGGGGGTTAAAGCCCCCACTACTATTCCCCTTCCCCCCAAAAGTTTTTCGCAAGACAACACAAAAAATGTCAAAACACCATTCAATGAATTAGTCAATGAAGTGTATATTGCATTTCGTATAAGGAAAAACATATGAACCTTTATGTATTAAGTACTTATATAATCCTATTTCATTTTATTTATTTACAGCGACTATCATAATATCTCTACCTAAGATTTTGACTTTTAATTCGATAAAAAAAAATAGCTTGAACGGTGTACATTTAGTTTAAATTGAAGAGTTGTAGTTTGAGTATACATAAATACGTGATAAAACAATGGTTAATCATTTATTATGATTATAGTGTGCTTTAAATACTACTCGTAGAAAAATAAAGTAATTTTCGAGTTACGACCCTCAAAAATGATACGGGAAAAAATAGTAAAAATGGCGCCGATTACCATAGCGGAAAGGAAGAAGCGAAAGATTTTTTATTTGATATGACATTTATAGTGCTACATAGATTAAGAATAGTACGTAAATGCCCGCAATCTATAAATGTAAATGTATACATTTTTAAGCAGCCTATAAATGTGTTATGATCTGTGGTCTGAATGTTGACATTTGCTTTTAGATTATTGTCTAGGCAGCATGGTCTCCGACCTTAGCCTGTTCCAAACGGAACAAACGTACTAAAAAAAAAAATTAGATTATTGTCATATTCTAGTAACTATTTACGGTGGAGTTTTTCTAATTTGTGTTCTGTGTGATTTGTTTGTAATTTAATCACACAGATCAGAAATAATTTTTCTTCTTTAAATATAAATATATACAGTAATATCTATTCATAATTGGAAAAGACAGTAAAGTTTATATTGTTATTATTTAGATGAAAATTAATTTTCAATTCATTAAAAACTACGCTTTTTCTTTTAATCAAAACTCAACAGCAATTTGAAGAAAAACTACTAGGTATGTCTTCTTTTCACGAAAGACAAAAAAACCTTTTTAATCATCTAAAAGACGCTGAAGACCAGCATGGATTCACTAAATCGAATAAAACTACTCCGCCTAATTATAACGAAATAGACAAAAAAACGTACAGAAAACTGAAACATGAAATGAAACAATTCAGAGGTAAAGAAAGTATCTACAAAAGACAAGACGCAAATATCCGGGAATGTTTAAGAGCGAAATCTGTTCCTGATTACATAAAAAATCCGAAAAAATGGGTATATTATTCATTAGCAGATGTTACACCAGAACAAATGTCTGATGCTACAAATACAGCTACAGCATTGGCATTAATACAAAAATTAGAAGAAGATGAGAACAAAATCGACAAGGAATGTGATAAAGAAAAAGCAGAGGTTGTTTTTAAAAAGCCTACATTTCACAGTTCCTCAACAGTAAAGAAAATATTAAAATCAGAAGATGAAAAAGCTGTATACAAGAGCAATAAGATTGTCATGCCAGAATATATTGTGGGAGTCACCCGTAAGAAAGAAAAGAAGGAGAATTTAATTAAAAGTACATCTTTAGTTAAAACAGATAATGAGAAAAAAATAGAATTAAAGCTGAACCATCTTTATGAAGATGATGAAGAGTCACAATAATTTATGTTAATATATTATTCTATCAGCCATACATGTTTTTGTCATTTACATTGTTACATGTTTTTAATAGGTGATAATGTATTGGTAACTATAATATAGGTTTTTTTAATAGATAAAATGTAATGGTTACGCTGGTATATGCTGGTGGGGCACCAGTGAAAAATGACAGGTGATGAAAGTATGTCAGCCCATCAAAACGAATCCCTCTAGAGTTAACCATGGTGATTTCCAGGAAGAACTAAATGAAGATTAACCTGATAGCATATATTGCTAGCAATGGGTCTCTTAGACCCCATTACTAACAATCCCTTTTCCCCCACATATAACATTATTTCTAAGAGGTCTTGCTCCTCATCTGCTTACTTATTAGCAAAACCCTCCTCTAACCTTTATTCTTTTTTATCTTGTGATTTTAGTCCACAAGCTTCCACCCATTTATATAATTTCATCTTTCTATCTCTTATTTGTAATCATCAAAATATTTTTAATGCAGGACCCATTCAAATGTATTCATATCTGTATTTATAGACTTTCATATATAAACCAAATGACCATTTAGTCTATAAGAAAAATTTTAAATACTTTAGATGTTTAACCAGGAGTTTCTTGTTAAGAAAATTATACAGCAAAGTCCTATATTATATGTATCTATACCAAATATCATAGCAAATGAGGAAATGAATTGTTTGTAACGGAGTCTAATGGTCAAAGTAGCAAATCTCCACATAGGTCCTGCTAGAAAATATTGTGACAAATTATGTCATGATAGGCCAACTAGCCTGATTTCATCATCATGATATCAGCGTATATTCCTTCACTGCTGAACACAGGCCTCCCCATAGACTGTCGTAAAGAACGGTACTGAGCCACTTGCATCCACTGACTCCCTGCAATGCATTTGAGGTCGTCACTCCATCTAGTGGGGGGCCGTCCAACACTGTTTGCTCATACGAGGTAGCCACTCAAGAACCTTCCCTATCGATTGTCTCTTCTTCGCGGTATGTGACCAGCCTATTGCCACCTCAGCTTGCTCGTCCTTCGAGCTATGCCGATGACTGGTTTTGTGGATATAATTTTAGAATCTGTCACGCAAAAAAACTCCGAGCAAAACCCTCTCTATAGCTTGCTAAGTAATTTAAAGCAATCATGTAGGACCATGTTTCGGTTACATAAGTCATCACTGACAAAACGCACTAGTTAAAGACTTTCCTCTTTAAACGCTGCTCAGCCGAGTTGGATTTGTCGGTTGACCTTTTAGTCAAAATTGGACTTACCTAGTCGTTAGGGGGGAGAAGGGATTGTTCGTAATGGGGATTAGTACACCCAATTGCTAACAATATATCCCTCTATCTCCTCACGTTGTCCCCTAGAAACCATCGTGTTGAATTCCAGAGGTATTTATCACGATGGGCGGACTGACCTGCCTTTTCATTCTCACCTATCATCCCTCACTAGTTCTCCGCCAATGTATACCGTTGGCGCAGGCGGGGGTTACCATTCTATTATCATCCACAAAAAAAAAACACGGTTAGGCATGAATTTTAGTCTTGTCCATATTCATCCTAAGACCTACCTGTTAAGCACGATTGAGGTCATTTAACATAGTATTCAAGTCCACTAGTGACTCCGCCATGATTGTTAAGGTAAATCGGAAATGAGTGATGTATTTGCCATTTTGCTTTCCCCATTAGTGTTCATTCCAGCCGAAATTGCAATCAATCATGACACCTAAGGTTAATTATTATAAAGGACATGTTGAACTTTAATATATTTAATATAAAAGTAGACAATCAAAATTAAATATGCCTAAGAAACTAAAAAAATTTTATTGTAAAATTAAGATAAATTTCTCCAAATTTTAAGCTTAAAAACATGCTTTTAAATTTTTTTCCAAATTTAACGGAATCTTATATCTAAAGGACAAAGACTACTGGACAAAAACTGTAGCAAACTTTCAATTTATTGACTATTCAAATTTAGAAGATATAACCTTATGGACAAGATCATGTCTAGTATTAATAATGAAAAGGGTTAAATTTTAAATGCATTATTTAATCTCTCAACACTGTGATATAACTGTTGATTCCGACTTGATTTCCAAATTCTCTGTTTGTTGATTGTCCGATTTATTTTCAGTCGAAAATGCACTGAGATCTCTCATCATAGAATAAGCATCTTCTCCATCAGCATAGTACTTTGGTTCAATTTCAAGAATTTTGAACCCAAGAGAATTTGTGTACAGATTAAGAGCAGCTCTATTACTTTTTCTAACATGGAGTGAAACATACTTAGCCTGAAACAAACAAATTTAAATTATTAATGTAACATAGAAATTAATTTACTATTATATTATAAAAAAAATAGTAAAATCTGTTGTGTGTAAACCTGAAAACATTCCACCATTGCTAAAGAGGCTTGATTCATAAGTTTTTGTGCAAGTCCAAGACGACGATGTGAACGCTTCACAGCAAGTGAGGTAATGTGTCCATGACGATTATCTTCTCCATCTTCTTCCATTTTGGCCAAAACATAACCTAGAATTTTCATTATAATTATATTTATTATATTAATTATTGTTAAGAGAATGTAAATAATTAACAAAACATAATTCTTACCAACAATTCGTCCCTTCTCATCCTCAGCGACATAACTGAGTTGTGGCCAAGAAAGACCATGGTAGAAATAATATTTCATTTGATAATTCTCTGGTAGACATAATAAATTGCAGTGTTGCATGTTCATGAGATCACTAGGCCTTGCGCACCGAATATTCATTTTGACCTGGTGAACTATAAATATTTATACAAACAATTTATTGTTAAACATGCAATGCTATGCCTCAACATATATATATGTACATATATGTTGAGGCATAGCATTATATATATATATATATATATATATATTTGATATTCAGGATTTTTAAATAGTAAGGGAAGAAAAATGTCAACTTAGCAAAAATTAAAGATTACATCACGTCAGAAAACAGATAGATAAAAACAATCCGACAGAGACATATACCTGTATATTGTTAATAGAAACAAATCACATACCTTCTTTGAGAAATTTTTGCTCAAATTATTCCCTTCTAAGTTTTCTTGGCTGTCTTATTTCAGAAGCAGGAGGAGTATCTGACATGCCACCTAGAAGCTCTCGAACAAAACGGAATTTCGACAGGCAACACTTCCAAACAATGTACCAACCTGAAACAAAGAAAAATAACATGAACCAGTTACTAAGACAATAACAACAATCTTTATATAGTTTATCACTGTGAATTATTTATTATATATTAGTAATGAAACCTGCCAATTTATATCAGAAATCGGGCTACTTACAAAACAATACAAAGACAAAGACTAACAATACACTACACACGAAGGTTATAAAAGCTAGTATTGCCTCCTTCATCTCTCACTAAGCATACATTAATGAACACGAAATTAATGCATTCACTTTACCAGAACAACAAAAATATGTACTTTAAAAATCTGAGTGATTCTTACAAGCGTGTCAGATTATAAAAATTAAATCGTTTAAGAGTATTGTAAACTACAGCGCCATTTTGATGGCCTCTTCTAAAAATGTAACTTAAGAAAAGCTAAACTAAAATGTAAACAAATTGTAATTTTCCACTCCTTCCAAATATATTAATTATAAAATAACATTGTATAATTATACTTTATCTTTATTTACGTACTTTTAATTAAACGTTGTTAAAATTAATAAATAGAATAATATAATTTTTATTCATACCTAACCTTTAATTTTGGATTTTGACATTGACATATGTTAAATATTTTTTTTTTATTTTTTATTCCTTATCAGATAAAACTGTCTATGAACGAAAAAATTTGAAAAATGAAATCTTCTGAAATGTGATGGTACAATAAATTAAAATAATACAATATACAAAGTCCACCAAGTGCCGACAGTCTATAGGCAATGGTTACCACTTTCCATCAGGTGGGCCATCAGCTTGTTTGTCATGACTATTTTCACTGACATAAAAATAATAACTACCTATACACGTAAATTGATAACATAAAAGAGCGCGATAGGTAAATTCATATAAAAGTCAAATAACCTACTTTTTATTGCCATTTATGTAAATTAAGTTAAATCTATACTTGTATAAATTATTATATTTATTTAAATTTATAATTTTTTTATACAACTTACAAAGGCAAAAAACAACTTTCAAACATATTAACGTAATACATTGTACTAACGAATGTTATATTATAAAAATGTCTCGTTTTAGCTACTGTCATTGCATATCATAGGATACTAGGACCACGAATACTATTCTTAATCTATTATCAACTTTGCATCTCTTCGTAGTCGGTTTGACATCTAACATTTGTTATCTTTATCTTTATAATCTGTGTTCCTGTTCTCTTTTTGTATCTTATTTTTAATTTTTTTATTTATTTGACTTTTAGTACCTATATTTATTATTATCTCTGTTTATTTGTTCCTATATATGAAATTTATTGTCCTGGTGTAGATAATATGAATATTGTACTCTCTTTCTCCAAGTATTATCAACTTTATTAATAAAAAAAATAGTAAAGTAGTTATTTCGTACTTTATTATTGAATTCCATATAATTTACTTTTAAATCTTTAAGATGAATGAAGACGAGCAAGATAATAAACCATCTGCAACTCCATTTTCGTAAGATATCCGTATTATTTATTTGTTTATTATTCTTAGTTCAAGAAAATTATAAAATTTTTGCCGCATTTCCAGGAGATATAGAAGTCCTATATTTGCTTTAGATGAAATCGAAACTTTGGTCAACTTAATAGATAAATATAAATTTATAGTTTTAAATAAATCTACAAGTACTGCAGCTTGTCATGCTAAAGAAATTATTTGGGCGAAAATAACGAAGGCTTTCAATAGTCATACCTTTAGACATATGAGAAGTGGAGACTGTTTAAAAAATAAGTGGGAAAATTTGAAAAAAGAAGCAAGAAAAGTATCAAAAAACCTAATGGAAATTAAACGTGGTGAATATAGTGACCTAACTAATCAAATATTAAGTATGATGTATGAAGCAGAAAACAGTACATGTGAAGTTGAGTTACCAGAAGAGACTGTTGAAGAAATAAAAGGTAAGGAATATTCATGACATGTTTATATTTAGTTCTCTTGTTAATTGTTTTATTTTCCATATATGAATAAATTTTGTCTGAAACATAAACCTAATATCATTTTGAAAAAATTAAATATTTAATGGTTTACAAGCATGAATGAGGGCTTTTGTTGCATTTGTTTCTACCTGCAGGTTCTGTAGGGGGCCCATGTACTATCTTCCTAATATAATAAAATGTCTGTATATATTTAAGAAAAATGAATATGAGAGATTTTAGTAAGACAGATAGGCCAAAACAGTCATTTTTAGAAATTTTTCTGTATACTTATCTGAATGTTTGTTCTAGTAGTATGAAAAAACTACTGTACTAAATTTAATGTGGTTTTCACAGTTGAGTTCCTGTAGACCTGAGTTAAAATCTGTTGTATGTTTTATCTTGATATATCGTCTAGAAGAGATTTATTTCATTGGTTTTCCTACTTCTGAAATCCACACATATGAAGTAGCAACCAAAAAGCTAATATAAAATAAAAACATTTAACAAAATGTGTTTTACACTTGATCACTATTATTACTTGCAAGTGATCTTTATTAATAAGGTTATTAATTATGATTAAGATGTTTTGCAAATCACTATGACATTTTATCTGTAGTTAAAAAATAATAATAAATTAATACTTTATCATAAACAATACATTTTTCTTTAAGCACGACTTTTTTTATGATATCTGTGTCAATTACTTGTATCAAGTTGTGTTAAATAACTAGAGGGTAGTTAGTAAAATGTATTACATATTATTGGTAGTTGGGCAAATTGGTAATAAAAAACTTAGCACTAAATTACCCACAAGTTACAAAAATAATGAATGTCATGCTTAACAAGACTTTGAGTTTAGAACTTATACTACTTACTTAATAATTATTTTTCTATATTTTGTAGAACCAGAAGTACAAAAAACTCTGAAAGAAGACAAGGCATTGAAAAGTTGGGTAGATAATCATAATAAAGAATCTGATGAATCAACAGGTATTTATTATAAATAAAATGGTCATGAAAATAATATGTAATTTTAAATATAATTTTCTAATCAGTACTTTGATTTTCAGATGGTGAAAGTGAACAAAAGAAAGGGTAAACATTTATGTTGCTTTTCAAATTCTAACAGTACTAAATATTTCTAATATGAATTAATCTGAAGTCTAAGTGATAGATAAAATACTATGAGCTCCCTGCCGAGGTTTTCCCAAGAAACTACAGCATGGGTTCTTCAAAAGGGGGGTAAAGAGGTTTCTTCAGGGTCGGCATCGCATGCGCGTGTTTATAGGTTACGGTGACTGCTTACCATCAGGCGGGCCGTATGCTTGTTTGCCACCTCAGTGGTATAAAAAAAATAATCAATATATTACTTTCCTTTTTAGGTTATATTCAAATACAAGTAGATCAATGAACTTCTCCCCACATGAATGCAGATTGCTGCTTAAGTGTGTAAGGGCAGAAAAAATACATATCTTATGTAAGGATAACTCAACTAAAGCTAATAAATTGAAGAGTGATGCTTGGTGTAGGGTATGTAACTATTTTTATTAATTATGTAGATTTTCACTGTATACTTTTATTGTGGGATTATGATAAAATATAATAAAATTATTACTATTATAAGTTTATGATATATTAATTCTTAAACTAATTATTATATTTTGATTATGCTTTTTTAGGAACTTTTGTTTATTTATAAGCTTTATTGTACATTTATATTCAAAACAAGAGACAAAAAGAAAAAAAAGTACAAAATTCCAAGTCTGTGCTCTTTTTTTTTTAAATAAAAAGTCATTTCAGAAGACTTCTTTCTTCTTTTTAGGTAGGTTTTATCATATATATTTTTTTTTAATTTTCAGACCTACCTACCTAAAATTCAATATATTTGTGATCTACATCATTTGTTTTAATTTTAATAAATTTATGTATATAGAAACCTCTAGCAGTAACAAAATTATTACTGATGTACAAAAAAAGAACCTAATTTATTATTAAAAAATATATTGTTACAACATGAAATAGCAATAAATAATTGAATTGTCAATATCACTTTTAAACTACTCAAATTTTCGTGCGGTTTCCGAAAACAGGACAATTTTGCATCCCCAAGTTCATTTCGAAGACACCTAGACTCGTAATTATAAAAACGGACAGTCTCATTCAAAACAGGATATCTGGTCACGTTAGTTATTAATAAGATTAGGGTACTGAATTTGTCCACAATAATGACTTAAATGCCGTATTCTATGCAGTGTGGACCAAGCATAGAATATGCTACCCCTTCTTTTCCTGTGGGTATCGTAAAAGGTAACTGAAGAGATTTAGTGGTAGAGGGATAGGCAGCAGCATCCCTCTTAAAACTTCTCTAGTTATTAGAGAAGTTAAATTAGGAAAGCTTAACTGCGGTTGCCAACCTGCCTGACAAACGTGGCAATTAATGGCTGAATACATTCAGCAGTTGACAATTAATGGCTAAATACATTCAGCAATTGACAATTAATGGCTGAAATTATAATTGACTAAAAATTCATTACCATCAAAGAATTTCACAGATTTTTTTACTTACCAGACTGGTTTCAGACTATATGCATATATAAAAAAAAGTACAAAATCAAATTGCAAAGGCCTATATATAATAGATCGATTAATTGTATTTTCTGAGTATAAATTATTAATTTAAATGAAGAAATATTAAAAATGGCAAAGAAGCTGACTCCACATGATAGAAAGTGGTAACCATATCTGAAAATAGGAATATGTGAAAGATTATATTCCGTAAAATCCATGGCGCATCACAGAGTACACTTTAACACTGTATTTCATAAAAAGTGTTTCCATCAAATAAAATATACAAATATTTTAATGATTTTTTTTTTATCAAATTGCAGGTAACAGAGGCATACAATAAACAGTGTCCACTAAAAAGAACAACAAAAGTCCTGCGCACAAAATTCACAAACATGAAAAGACTATCTAGAAGAATTCGTGTACATGGTTATTTAGCTAAGAAAATAAATAAGAAACATGTCCAATTAGATGAAGAATGTAGTAATAGTGATAAGGTATTTTTATTAATGATTTTGGATACTGTATTCAGTTATTTCACTGATATCGTGAATTTATTAGTTGTAAAGCTTTATGTATATTTATTACTCAATTTGCGTAAAGATAAAGATACTTTTCAGAAATTTGTATCATAAATAAACATATGTTAGTAATCAGTTGTAGTGCTGTAAAATTTGATTTGACAGGAAATTTACCTTAAAAATTGTCATATTAGGATGCAGTCCTCTTTCAATTTCTTAGTTATATATTTTGAACCAAAAGAGGGGGTTATAAGTACATTATACAATATCTTTATTAGTTCTGAGCTGATTTATATATATATATATATATATATATATATATATATATATATATATATATATATATATATATATATATATATATATATATATATAATAACTTGCTGTTTTGTAGTGGAACAAAATATTATATTACTACTATTATACTATGTTGTGTTGCAGACAATAAAAACAGAGCCTATTTATGAAATCAACGATGAACAAATGCAGAATGATGATGCTCACAATGATGATGATAATGATTTTAATGAAATTCCCAATAATGTAAATAACAATCCCATTAACATGGCGCCAGATCCTCTTAGCACAGTGCTCAACAGTGATTCGGGAATAGGTAATATTTTTAGTTCCTATTTTCCTCTCTGGCATACCCCATATTATAATATCAAATATGTAAAATGTTAAGCTAGTATGGCCAACATCAAAAGTTGATAAGCGTAATATATATATATATATATATATATATATATATATATATATATATATATATATATATATATATATATATATATATATACACCATTATGTCTATATATATTTATTTATTAGATACAAATAGAATAGTATTCACCCCTGTACTATTGGTATACACTAGCAAAGCACCGTGAGTGATGATAGATAAGGATGAGGCAGATTAGTTGGCCTTTATGATAGATTCAACAGACTTCAATGGTTTTCACAGTGAACCGCGTGGAGGCCGACCTGTTGGATTAATAGTATGTATACACTACTAACAACCCCTTTCCCCCATTGTATATATTTCTTCAAATTTGCCCTTATACGATGTTCATGTAATTTTGGTACTTGTTGAACTACTTATACGTACGCAATAATATTTATGGGTTTTGTAAATCTTCAGAATTTTATCGATTTTTGATTTCGACTACGTCTTGGATTACAATTGTGATACCTTTTTTATTTCTATAACATTTTATATGTTTTAAAGAACATTGGCCTATCCCACGACACGACAGGTACAATATAGGAAAATAAAAAATAAATTAAAATTTCACAGAAAGGAATTCTTAAGTATTTATTACTTACATTTTTAAAGGCTATAGAAAATAATTAAATCTCATTAGATGGTAATTTAATTTCAGGTTCAGTAACAAATATGGAATCCTTTAACATGTTGGATAACAAAGAAATATTGGAATTAAAAAAAGAGTTGTTGAATTATGAATTAGAAACAGCCAAAGTAAGTTGTTTACGCAGTATTTATGCTATGTAATAGGTATTATTTGTTAGTTATTTCTTAATTCTTAGAAATTTAATTAATTATTGCTCTTTTTATATTATTGTGAGTGAAAAATAAGCAAACACCATTAAGATGCCATTATGGGTATCGCAAAATATATCGCATTTCAAGCCTTAAATTACAATCGCTCCTCAGTCTTCCTGTGTCAGAAATTGTTTTGGGTATCTTAGCCTTCAACCTGGAACTCACTGCCATATTATGACAAATCGATATGATATAATAATACCACATAAAACCCAACAGGTTTATTGAAGTTTTTTTTTTTTGTATTATTGATATCCATCATAATTATTTTATGCTAAAGTTATGTAGTATATAATATCCGCAATTAAGACACATTTGACGACTCTCTAATTCTATTTATTATAATTTATTTATAAGCGATTAGTTAAATATTGTTTCTAAGATCCGGACAAACTTACAATACACTCAAAAATACTACTTTCCACTTATTATTTTATTCGTTTAGTTAATGGCAAAATGTTGCCACATGTATACTTCATATTTCATACAAAAAAAAATAGATAAGATAGGTATTGAACCAAGCAAGTCACACGAAATTAATCATTTCCAGTTAAAAAGAAAAAAGTTAGAAGACGAAATACAAGAGGAAGCAATCGCTAGAGAAATGAGAGCGACAGAGAGGGCATTGCGACTCCGCGCGGCAAGGCTGGAAGTAGTGGCTGCCGAAATGAAGCTGCCGGTCGGCCATCCCGCCCTCCACTATGCTCAGCAGGAAGCGCGTGCGCAACCTTCGTACATGATATAAAATCATATTTATACGGTAGTAATTTTGCACTACTAAAATTTCGCCACCAGCGATCACCAGGGGGGAAGTACCAATGACATGAATGCAATGCATGACAACAGACTTCTATAGGTGATAAACCACTGTATAAAATCTTCTTATACTGTAGTACTAGTTTTCAAAGCCAGTCATTAGCCCAGAATAAGGTTGTTCCAATATGTACCAGGGATAAAAGGACGGAGATCACTGGCAACGAAATTTTACTCATATAAGCAAGCCGAAAGTAGTGCATATTTTTTGTAGTAGAACGACGAAACAGTATTTGAAATAATGTTGCTCTAGAGTATTGTTGACGAGTCAATAAATCGTCCGTAATTCGATATTTGTTTCGCAATTAATTTTTTTTTTTTCTATATAATTTTCCTATATTGATCTCATTGTAAATAAAGACTTGAAATCCTAACTTTTCATAGGTAATTTTTTAAACTTTTTATAGGTGAACGGTAAAAATAAATGAAACGAGAGTTTTAAATACGAAAATTTGTATATTTTAATTGATTGCGCTTTTACAAGATGATTAAATTACTGTTCAATATTAAAATCATTATTTTAATACATACCTATGCATTTGTACAATTTCATCTATACCTAACTAAACTACGACACCTATAAATATATTACACATCACTAATTTACAACATGCTTTTTACACTGATATCATATCTATCCTACATCTATCTACTTATATTGTATAAAGTACAAAATGTAGGTACGTACATACATACAGTAAGTAACGACAAGCCACAAGTATATTAATGATGATCAGCTTTAACATATAAGTAATTGAGCACAAATTGCTATTTGTCGAGTCAGTCATGATTGTTCAGAGCAGATTGCGTTACATTTGCTAGCAGGCTATTCTATTTTTAAGTAGGTCTTGTATTCGTTTTATTATTCAATTCAAAAATATGTATGGCATCATAATACTCGAAATCTCTTCATGTAGCACAATTCTTCATTACCAAATTAGTAGCTCTGTAGATAGTAGCGGTTGTTTATCTTCATAGGCCAGATGCCATTGATTTGACCATATAAAATGTTCTACATATTCATATTTGCATATTGTTTATTGATTTTTAGTAAAATATTGTATTGAGCATTCAATCAGACAAGGAACGTATCGATATGAATTATATTCATAAAACTAGTAAAACTGATATATTTCTTTTAAAAACATACATAGTTGCCAGTAGTTAGGCGTCGTTCTAAACAGTACTCATACAAGAATGTACAAGCAGTTTGAATCAGTTATAAAATGCGTTAACGATACTAAGTACTATAAAATGGTACAAGTGATGAAACGCGTCTCGAGACTCATTCAATCGATGTAAAACTAAAGAACTACTTACTGCGCGACAAAATAATGTCGCACATTCATATCCACATACACATTCTACAAATATTTACGATACTGTTGCAAAATTGTATAAAACTGGACGGACAACTCAACTCACTACGGCAAAATGAGCATCCAGTAATAAAAAAGTCGCTATTCTATTGCGAACTCCGTTTTAAAAAATGAAGATTTCTAAATTATGGCAGCCTTCGTTTTATACCATAGATATATTTATAGGTAACATCTAAATAGAAACTCGTTAAAACTCGTCACACGTCGGCAGTCTACGTTATCGTATTGTACGTCGTATCTAGACAAATTTCTTTGGTAATGCTGCGCGCCCCTCGGTTTCCTACCTCGGTGGCCGCGCAAGGAAGACCCGGCCCGACGGCCGTCGCCATCGGGGTGCTTCAACTTCCGCGCCATCTCGTCGGCGAAGTGTTCTCCTCGCACACTTACACTCCAAGTGTCGCCCCGGAGACTCCGCAACTCGTCGGAGAGAGATGACACTCGAATGCTAAGGATTCACATGCGATGACGCAGCGCTCATTTCACCCGCGTGCCCGCGTCGACTGGACGCCGACATACGGCTTATATCTGCAGAGTAGCCAGCGAGGGTGTCGCGGAGGGGGCGTGCGGCGTGTGCGGCGTGTGCGGGGTGTGCGGGGAGTGCGGAGTGAGCGGCGTGAGGGGCGTGGAGGGCGCGGAGGGCGGCACGGCGGTGGCGGGCGTGGGCGGGTCGGCGGCGCGGGGCGCGGGCGGCGGGTCGGCGGCGCGCACCAGCACGCGGCGCAGCTCCTGCGCACGCGCCGCCAGCGCCCGCGCCGCCTCCGCCATCTCGGCCACCGCGCTCGCGCACGGGAACTTCTGCGCCGCGGCCTTGGTCTTGGCCACCGTCGTCGCTAGCGCGTCCGACAGCGCGTCGGAACACCTCAGAGCTTTCGTTTTGAGCCCGGCGTGTTGGGCACTCCTGTAGACAAAATAATGCCGATTCATCGAGTGTAAAGAGAACCATCTTATTCGTTAATGATATATACATTGTGGTGATCAATATATGAATATAATATCTCTAAAATACGCGAGGTCATCTGCATAGAAGTTTTAATAAAACCTATACAAGTAAATATTAAACGTATACTGGAGAGAGTAGCGCTGAGTCAGATATAAAACAGATCACGGAATCTGATCGAATGATTTGACGATGACTCAACAGTCGCGGAACCAATGAACTTTCAAACGACGAACGCACCAAGTAATAGAGTGAGATCCCATATGTAATATAATCGACCTTAAACACATTATAATAGAGCTCACTCTACTTCAATCCTATCTATGTACAGTATCATTGAGCTAAAACTTAAGAAGTAACAGATTGAGATCCCACCTGTGCACAGTGTCGCCCACGTGCACGATGCGATGCGCGCTCAACACGACGAACTTGCCGTGCGCGAGGAACACGTCTGGCGGTTGGCCCATGTCGACGGTACGCAGGAACGCTTCCACGGCGGTGGCCAGGTGGGCGCCGTACGTGGCCGTCTGCGCCGCGTAGAACGCCGCTAATGCGCGGTCGTCCGCAGGCAATCGTGCCGCTGCCGCTACTGCGCTCACCTGCACCACAACACTTGATTAACATTTCATCCACAGATCGAAATATTACTAGCTAGACTAGAGGTCCAATGTAGACTTACATATAGCAGCAATTGTATATAGTTACTAGTGTAAGGATGTTATTTACTCCCCAAAAGTTTCTAAGCTAATTTCACCATCATATATAGCAGATGTATCTTAGTGGAGAAAAACCTATCAGTACGAGGTGACAAAGAAGCGGATATAACGAAGCTACGTCTAAATATAACTACAGCGGGTCTAATATACAATTAACAATTATTACACAAGTAATCATTCTTTGTAGGTATTGCTTTTATTAGCGTTTATTGTTACCAATCCAATAAACCTATCTTAGAATTTTATATTATAGGTATATTCCTTAAAACATGTGTCATTACATTTTTATGTTTGATGGGCGCTAGTCATTACGGAAAATTATGACGACATTTTACCTAAATATATTTTTGTACAAATTTATTAAGAGCTGTTAATATTTGGATGAGTAATGAGTGGTTATTAAATTTAATATTTAAACCACCAAAGATTAGCTAATAATGTTGTTATCTACATCAAAAATAAAAGATAATAGTTTATATATAATATGTCAACGTTATATCTAATTATAAAATATCTTATATATTTAGTTAAAAGCTAAGAACAACGAATTATATAGAAGGAATGATAAAATAAAAATTGTAAATCATATGGTTGCCTCCTTTCTTCTTAAGCAAATATAATTAGTAAAAAGAGGACGAAAGATACACCATCAGTTGCTATTTTTCTCAATTCACAGCAGGCTAGTGTATAGAAAATGTTTGATATGTCAATTATTTGTCAATAACAACTTTTACATTACTAGATTATACATTTGACACAGTTTATGCAGAAAGTATGCATGCAGGTTGTATCTGAATTTGATAAGGTTATACGGCCGTATTACGTTTTCTATAATACACTAGCCTGCTATGAATTGTCAATTTTATCACTCCTGTGTAATTCCTTGTTCTTAGGTTAAAAGTACTCACCTCGCCGGCATGATCAGCGTCTCGCACTAACGCATCGAAGGAAGCCCTTAATTTATCAGGCAGTGCGGCGCGGATCTCTGCGTTGCGTTTACCGATCGAAGTCCGCGACTCTAGTCGCACGTAGTCATACTCTTCCGTCCATTCGTGCTCTGGCACAGTCGCAGATCGTCTACAACGAATAATATAAAAATGATAAAGTGTGGAAAATAAATATCACTTACGTATACCTATCTATAGCTACTCTAATATTATAAAAAGGTAATAATTGTTTGTAATAGTTAAACTCAAAAATTACTCTAAAAATTTACAATCCGTTTAAAATTTCCGTAGATATTGCGTTACCTACTTTATCTAAAATTATAGATGAATTAAGTAAGAACCTCCCATTGCCCATTTGATTACTTTAATATAAGCATGTCTCATTGTATCTCACTGTGATAAATTGTGAAGAGAAAATAAATCTATTTATTATTATTATTATTGCAAATCGCTTTAAAATATTCAAGTATCCTAAATCAATATCAAGTGCGATCCTGATAGGTTGTTATCGAGATAGGTTGTTATTTAGTAATAAATATAAGATTGTAAAGGATTTTTAAAGTAATATGAGTTCAGATTAAGGGTAGGCGATACATATAGGTTTAGTTACTATATTTATGTAGTGGCCCAATATCGGATAACTAAGTATTAAAAGCGGGATAATTGTCACTAACAATGTAAGATATAGCATAGATAGCATCAGTATATAGGAGAGAAGGATTTGGTAGTAACGTAGTAGCTAACGGCCCATTGCTAGCAATATATCTTGTCAGGTCGGTCTCCCTGGGAACCATTATGATTAATTCCTTACGAATTTATCACGATAGGCCAACTGACCTGGCTTCACCCTCACCTATTATCACTGACTGGTGTCCCGGCAGCATATCAGTATATAAAACAGCTAACCTGAACAGCAGCGAGGCGTTGCCGTTTATGAAGGAGGCGGCCCGGCGGACGTCCTCGGTAAGTGATCGTGCGCACGCGACGAGCTGGTCGAGCGCGTCCAGCGAGCCGTCGGTGGGCTCGCGGTCGCGCTCCAGCCGCTCGGGCGCCCAGTCGCCCGCGTCCAGCGCACTCGTCGCCTCGTGGGTTATGCGTTCCGCGTCTTTTAGCGCCTTCACCAGCGGCCGTAGCTTGACTGCGATACCTGGAAATTAAAAGAAACATATTATAATATGTTTGCATCAAAAGCTTGAGCATAATTATCTTAGAGCATTTCGTCATAGTCGTAGAATACTGACGGATCTGACACAGATCACATATCACATATTATGATATGATAAACATAAGAGTGACATGGCATTTACTATCAACTGTTGAACATATGGGAGGCATATGTTGGGGTATTGTCACTAGTTGCCACGCTTGACAGGCAAGTTGACATCTGCAATTAGGCTTTGATGATATTTTTAGAAAGATGCTGTTGCTCATTCCTCGACCATTATAATCATTTAATCAGCAATTATTCCTCCAATGGATAAAGAAGTGGATGTGACAATCTTTTTACCACTTGGTAGGTAAAAAATTAAAAAGTCAAGCTAGAAAAAGTAAAAATAATTGGTGTAGTAGTGACCTTTGTCCTGTGCATCGTGCGCGTTGGCCAGCGTGGCGTCCGCGAAGACGGCAAGGTCGTGCAGGGCGGCCCGCAGACGCGCACCCGCCACGCGCACGTCCAGCACGCGCGGTCGCAGAGCGCCGCGCCGCCGCCAGCCCGGGCACACATACGACAGTAGCCGCGACACCGCTGCCGACGCCTCTTCCTGATCATATTTAAAGCAAATTAACAATTAAGCACGCTTAGAAAAATATCATATCATATCAGATATATTGGAAAGTTCTCATGGTGGGAAAAACAATAATTTTTCTACAAATTCTAGGGTCACCTAAGTAGTATAAATATAGACCCCTAAATAAAAACACAAAGTGCTCACATTTGTCGATGCGTCTGACGCTACTGTTTTGATTGTATCATTTGACATACCCAAATTTGTCGAAAATATCGGGCAGAATCCAACATGTCAGAGAACAGGCCTACTAAATTATCGATGTTTTCTGTCATAATTATGATCATCATAAGAAGTACCTATCTATGTAAATTCATTATATTCACTCATACCATTATAAGAATTTCTTAAGAAATTTCCTTTTTTTATTTCGTTAAGTCTGTCAGATACAAGTAAATGAGGAACCACACCTGTAATCTTTCCAGGGCTTCTAAAGCAGCATCACACGGTAAAGGTAAGGCTCGCGACCGTGGCACGTCGTATGTACTCGAAGCAGACGCCGCTGAATGAAGCGAGCTACCACTGTTGGCGGAGGCGCTTGATGTAGCTGACGTGAGTGAGCCGGTTCCGCTGCAAGCTGAATCCGCACTGGCGGGCCGTGGTGCCCTTGGTGCGTCATACCAATCAGCTTGTGCTCGCGGGCAATCATACATCACAATACGCTGCACTGGCATAGGAGCACGTGGAACATCATAGTGTGAACATTCCTCGATCTGGAATAAAATATTGCTTTTATATTATATATAATAAATTTTAATTTTGCTGTGCTGTACTAAAATGAAATAGTTTCTTTTATTGGCTCACTTAGATAAAAAAATCTTATTCTACTTATTCGAAAACTACAGTTACAGTAATCGAGTAGCCTTTAGGCGATGTTCGAATGAAAATAAATACTTAAAGCTCTAATGACTAAGGTTACCAGAGTTTCTAAGAAATGGCTTGTTACAATGCTTATGCGTCATAAGCTCTCTTGTTACATTTGCAACTAAAATAAATAATAAGTAATACATAAGCAGAGAGCAAACATACTTTAGTAAAAGGCGGTGATTGCTGAGTCGGTAATGGCTGGTGAGCTACCGGCGCTGGGGTGCGCGTGCGCCGCCTCTGCATCGCGGCGCTGGCATCGAACACACCCGCCACCACCCTTAATCTGTTTCCCGGACATATTCCCTGAAAAAAGAAATCATATTTATTCTACCATAATAAAAGTCTTTCCATACTGTTCTATATTGCGTATTGTACTATGTAGTAAAAACCATTTTCAATACTTCAAAAGTGTTTCATCATCATCATTAAGGAATAATTGTAATCTTGCTCATGTGCAGTAAAACAGTATGATTTATTTTACTTTTAGAATTTCTCATCTATGTTCTCAAGATGGGTAATGGTGATTATCCAATCTCTCGACTTACTCAGAGCATGACCCAATTCACATTTTAACTTTTATCAGGGCTATTACGTGATAAAGTATCAAGTTATAGCTTACAATCAAAGTTTCGTCATCCAAGAAGGACGACGGCAGTTTATTAAGATCAAATTGCTCAAAATTGTCAATTTACCTTTGATTAATTGCTTTTGCGTCAGTGTGTATCTGATTTTTTAAGAAGAAAATGTATATTCGAATAAATAAAAGTACTTTGTATTAGAAACGTGACGTTGGAATTTGAATTATCGAATTATCTTTGATACCAATTTTATCAGTACATAAATTAATCACCAAAATATTAAATCCATGCCTATGCCTCCGGAAAACTCTACTCTTAGCTATCCAAAAGTACTTTCACACTATCGACAGAATACTAAATCGGTATCCTTACTTTACTATAAATGTGTAAATAAGTATGTTTTAACGGCATACCCAATCGTCAAAAGATTTGGTATACACGTTTTATATGGGACGGAGTTAGACATAGGCTGCTGTTTATTCTGATCACTAACCATGTTCCGATCACGCTGAGGAAGTCACACGTAAGGGCTAATTTAGTAAAAACTAAGATACAAAAGCTAACTAGCCATGTCACATTTAATAACAAAAAATACAACAAAAGTACAAAATTAGATAACGAATAGATACACTCTCATACGTACTTGTCTGCCTCTGAGTGAGCACAGCCACCAACCCTCGCTGCCGCCCGTGTTTTGCTCTAGCACCGTAAGGAGGTCGCCGCGACGAAAGGCCAGCTCGTCCGGCGACTCGGCTATGTTATCGTACAACGCTCGCGCCATGCACTGAAACAATGGAAATTATTTGTCAGTAGGGAACAATAGGAGTAGATGGATTTATTTTCTTAAAGGTATATGTAGTAAATAACCAGATCTGCTAATTTTGAGATTAGTAAATATTCTTGCCTAAATTAAGGTAAATTTGTAAATTTCTCATATACATATGTCTGCGACTCTTATCTATCTTTAAAAAATTAGAGATCTGTTGATTGTGGAGCGACCTCAAATACATCACAGGAAGTCATAGGAGTCAATTGAAGTAAATAGCTCACACAGGTGGCTGGATCGTTCCTAGAAGGGTAAATGAGCAGCGACCTGTGAATGGCTAATAATAAAGAGGTTGATATAGTAAAAGTGTTGTGTAGTTAATTGTGTACCTTATGCACTGTTATTCTACATAAAATCAGTGGTTCATATGCAATGATTCCGGTCGGTCGATGATGCTTAATAAGTGGAATTAATTTTGAACTTTATTTAATTTGCTGACACACCATAATTTTCTACCGAACATTTTCTTGCTACATAAGCTAAAATATAAACTTCCCTAAAAAGAAATAGGATATTTTGCACTAGCGAATCAGACGCAATAAGGAATTTATTTTAAAGTATAAAGCGTGATGATAAATTGGTCGGATTACGGTCTATCGATAAAGAATGCTATATACTCGTAGCATTATATTCATCTCTTTCACCATATAGGTATTTTTTGTAAAATATGATTAACACTCAATATAAATGTTTGAAAAATTTCGATTATTGTCGACCATCTGGTACTTCTCACATTAGGTACATTGATTAAAAAATCGTTTTTAATTACGCTTTTAATATTAATCTTACGAAAAAGACCACACGGATGGTCGTGACGCACTTACTTTTTACCTAATAATTATTGACTGCACAATTTAAATAACATGAATAAACACAATAAATCAAATGGGAATATTAAACCGACACCCACTGCCAAATAGGCCCACCCAACACCTACAAGACTTTAAACTATGGATCTCATACATTAAAAATTATTTACAACAGTTATTATGATATCGAATGCTAAAATAACACCATTCATCTATGCTCCCATGTTGGTTATAATCTATGCTGTCCTTATTAGAATTCGACACCGCCATCTATTTTTGCGGTGCATATGTTGCAGTACGCAGCTGCAGTGGAGTGGGTTCTAAATCAGCCTCTAATGATGGATTGCATTGTGCAATGTAAGTACAATATTACTGTGGGCGACCCGTTATTGAGGCAGGCCATGTCCGTTTCTGATACAGTATGGTACAAAATATTGATATGTTCATTCAGGCAATGTCGGCCTACATAATTATACATACGTACCTATACATTTGGCTCTATACATTTATAAGAGCTGAACATTAAAGATGTATAAAACAGTTGTTAACTGATTTCCTTAGATTAAAGATAGATACTCTTTATTGTTTCTTCCAAAAGATTACAACATTAAACTTATTATAGATACAAACAATTACAAGAAATAATCACAGTGAGAAACCAATGGTTGACCTTATCGCTAAAAGCGATCTCTTCCAGGCAACCTTCGGATGGAGAGGAGTAATTATAAACAGTTTGATCGGAGGCACGATGAAAATTCTATCGTTTCTAAATATGGAGTGTTAATATATGTAATAATGTAAATATATATCCATACTCATTTATATATATATATATATATATATATATATATATATATATATATATAAATACATTTACATACATACAAATATTAAACTTAGATTATACTAATTTCATAAAAGGTGAAGTTCTCCATCCTTTTTATATTTAGATATATAATACTTATAGGTACCTAACTTCTATGCCTACTGATTTTAATGAGTTTTTAATCGAACGTGTTTAATTTACACTTGTATTAGTGCTTTATAAATATTGTCAAGATTGATTGTCTTTTTGGAAGAAATAAATTTTAATTAGATGGCATTATTCCAAATTTACAAGCAATATGTAGACAATTTAAATATTTTTTAAATTTGATTAATCTTTAATCTTGTATCAAGTTATAATTGATTTTAAATGCAATATAAATGTAAAACTGTTAATGAATTTTATAACTAATTTTTATAGTAAACCTCAAAATATTGTACATTTAAAAATAAAATGCATGCATGGACTTTAAGAATATCTTTGCGTTTTATCTTTTTAAAAATTTAAAAGTACATGCCATTAATATACACATTTTAAATATACAAAATAACATTTAAAATTTATATTAACCTTTTTTTCTGGCACACGTATAGATGCGAGCACATAATATGATCCTTTACAGTTGCACATGATCACAATATTTAACATTTATCCTCAGCTTCAACACCAAATTAATTTTTGTATATGACGATTATCCTTCCATATAACAAATCACAAAGTCATTTGCAGTAGGTACAGACGCGTCTACCCGACTAGGCAATCGACGTAATACTGCCAATCAACAGAGGCGAACTAATTAGTTCGTCTCATTCATCGAAAATAAATTAATTAAATTTGAATCATGTTATTACAATATTTTGCTATTAGTTTTAATATTTACGCGCGTATGAGTCATGGACAACGTCATTGATGTGTACCAGATCAAGGAGGAATAAATAAGGTATGATACTTCTAATATGCAGTCAGGCATAATTGCTCGATTTTAATATCAGTATTTTATATATAATTGGTACAACGAATTCGACATAAACATTAAAAAATCTTATATAATTTTTTATACTATAAATATTTGAGTCCTGATTTTTTTAATTAATGCATAGTAATGTATGGTTAATAATTTATTATTAAGTATTCGTACTTCAAACCATAATAAAAAAATTAAGGTCTAGCAGTTAAAGCAACAAGATTTACAATTCATCCGTGTATGTTACGCAATACCTTTTCCAATTAAGTATAAACTCATTTTGATAATTCTCTTTGCATTCAATAGGATTTTTTATCATCATCATATCAGTCTTTAACTATCCACTTCTGTACATAAGCCTCCCCCTTGGGGGGTTTTGCCAGTAGTTACCATGCTTGGCAGGCGGACTGACAACCGCAGTTACGCTTTAGTGATGTTTTAAATGGGACGCTGCTGCCCCTCCCTTGACCATTCCCAGGGAACTTCCCTTGGTCGCCTCTTACGACAGGATAGCAAGGGATGGCCTATTATATGCGTGGACTACACGGGAAGGAAGGATTTTTTGTATAATTCGATAATTTTGGTATTACATAGTTTGTCGCTGTTTTCTTTGCGAAACTGTACCTTAAGCTATTTTTATTTCTCTTATGTACATATTAAGCTGTAGATTCACCAATTTCATACAGATTAAGAAATTTTTTAATTCAAAGAATTTATTACAATACTATTAGTATTGTAATAAATTCTTTGAAATCCCACAACACTACCGTAAGTATTTTTGTTTTGCTAGGACTGTAATCGGTCTTTTATGAAATAAAACATATCTCTTATAAAATAATATACTCTTCGCAACACTCAAATCAATGCTGGTTTCCGATAGAAATTATAAAAATAAGTTCAATGCTTTAAATGATATATGCACACTCAGTGACCAGTTTTACCTCCAATAGATTTGTTATTATAAGACAGTTCATATCGACTTATTTTGATTAGATAAACATATCATATCAGTTCACCTGTTATTACGAAAAGTATAATGATGATGATGTAGGTATTATTTTGTACTTTGAACTAACAATAACATTTGAAACGTACTTAATTTAATAGTCTTTTAAAAATAGACTTTCGGTAAAAGTACATGAGAGTTTAAAACTTTAAAAATCATGATATCGTTTTACAAATTGAGAAGATAATATTAATGTGAAAAACAAAAGCGTATAGTTGAATAGAAAACACCTCCTTCTCGATGTTAATTGAAAGTATAGAATCTACTTCCTTTATAAAAGGTTAATGTGTACCGGATATCAAGACAAAGATGATGAATCATAGCGCCAGCCAGCATTCGCGGAATCGGTCAGGCACTGCGCGGGCGCAGGGCGATCATCTCAACATTCACCATGCACGTAACCCGTATGGGTGAGGTCATTGTCTGACCTTTAATTCACAGAAATGGACAAACAAGTATAATGAAATGAGTAACGTAGTGTAAATAGGGAACTGATGGCACTTTTGCGGTGACTGGTCATGTTACAGAACAAAAATATGGCGACTGTCAATGAATAAACAGGCATTTATATTTTTACCTTTGTAACAAATTTACACTTAAAATTTTATTTATCCTATTAATATAATTTACACTTTAATTTAAACCTATCCATACTTTATAAGAATAAATAGTAGTTACCCGCGACTACATGCGCGTGGCCAGGATATGTTTACTGACCGGGATAAAAAGTAGACTATGGCATTCTCCAACCCTAAAGACACAATATACGAAATTGGTCAGTGATTAGTTATATCCGTTATAGCGCTGTATGGTAACAAACACATTTATAATATTAGTAAAGATTATCTTAAATTAAATTGGTTATTTCGCCTTAATCATAGATAAAACTACGGTGCAATACTATGTTTTAATCGTTCAGAAATTCGTAATGCAAATTGCCATGTATATATGTATGCCAACGTGTATTTAGAATAGAGTTATATCTCGGTCAATCAATATATCCCGAATGCCCAGTCACAAGTATCACGTCTCTTAAATTTTCCTTCTAAACTACAAGTCTGTTCATACCTATATTGTAACTTACCTATATATTAATTATATTTTCCTTTTTAACTCGATTTCTTAATAAAATGACAAAACCAGTAAAAGAAATAAATAAGTTCTAGGTCGAAAAACAACGCTTCGTAATTCCTTTATATGAAAGGAAGGATATACTCGTAAATTATTTTTTGCGGTTTTGTGAAGCAATATTTCTTCAATACAATTCTGTAGGTAATGCAATTTTTTAGAATACAATTTATGGCGTGACATAAATAACCTTTTATCTTTGCCAATACTAAACCAATTTTGAGG